CAGCATAAGTTCCTTGGAGACACTACTGGAAACTCTGCTGAGGGTGGCCAGTGGATTCCAAGTGCAAGGTCTGTGGAGGGGGCCTGCGAAGCCCTTATCTATAAGCTCCACGATGACAGAATAGCTTGCATGGTAGAACGGAGGGCCTTTTCGATATAGCAGCAGATCTGTCCCATACTTGACTTTGGTCTTTGGGCACCCAGCCCTTGCTCCAGAAGTAGTGGTAGGCCCTGTAGGTTGTCCTGAGTGTGGGCTGAATTGCCGTGAACGCTTGCCACAGCCTCATGATCTTCAGAGTTCCTTCTCATAGTAGATACTCAGACACCCCAGCGCATGGACCAAGAAGAAAGCCTCTTCCAGGCTAAGCTGCAGATACTTGAAGATCCCCTAGGGATTTCTTCTGAGTATTAATCTCTTCCTTTGAACCAACTTTCTGCTCTTCACCTCCTCCACTGCCTGGGTGTCCTCCCCCTGGCTCCTGCAACTCGCTCCCTCCTCCATCAACACAAGCTCAGGGCCAGACCCCCTCTCTCTGGCATGGAGGCTGCTGTCCAGCAGCAGAAGGCCACACTGCAGGCTGAGTGCATCCAGTACACAGCTGGGGACCCGGGATGCAGGTGCTGGGTCCTCTCCTGGGTGCTCCCCAAAGCTGGTAGCAGCCAGTGAGCCAGGCCCAGAGCCTAGGCCAGGCTCTCCTATCTCCTTCATGGTTCCAGAGGCTCCATCCATCCCCAGAAGTCCCCCTGTCCCTGCCGTGAGCCTGGCCTGAGGTCGCCCCTCTACACTGCTCTCTCTGCCCACATGCTCAAGTGGCCTTGTGTACTCCTCGAGGACTTGGCACACCGTGCTCTCACCCTGGCCCTGTCTGCGCAGGAGATCTGCAGCGCACGCCAGATGATGCTGGTACTTCTCCGAAGTGATGATGTGTATGTTTGTCTCCACATCTGTAATGTCAAAGGAGCTCTGTTACTTCCAGACATGTTTCCCTTAAGAGGGAAAAGCACACCCTGAAAATCGAGGACAGGAACAGAGCTCATGGCACAAGGTCACAGCCTGGAAGGTGAGTGCTGACCAGTCAGGGATGGCTTCATGCAACCTCAGGACTGCCCATTGCCCCAGCTCAGTAGGGACAGCGGGTGACACCAGCACAGGGCTCTGAGACCCCACAACCTCCCGTGAGGGGCTGGGAAGTATGCCGGGGGCACTGTGAGTCTGGGGTGGGGATCTAGTTCTATTTAATTTTTAAAACAGATAATGCATTCAAATGCTTCAAAATTCAAAGGATACAATGAAGTGACTCACTTTTCATTCTCAAAGCCAGCTAACACTACCAGCTTCTTGTGTGCGTCCTTCTGAAGAAGGTTTATGTGTTTGCAGTTGGCCCTTCATATCCACACATTCTACATCTGTGGATTCCAACAAACGCATCTGTACTGAGCGTATACAGACTTTTTCTTGTCATTTTTCTTTAAATAATACATAAAGCAAGCATTTATATAGGATTCACATTATATTAGGTATTATGAGTAGTATAGAAATGATATATCAGTAAGATGAAAGTCTAGAAGAGGATTTGCTGAGTTAATGAGCATTTATATATGAAAATTTTATAAATACCCCACAAAACTGCATCAGTTTACATTCTCACTGTCATGAGTGCTTGTTTGCCCAGATTCCTTCAGTAGTATGTCACCAAACTACCTAATCTTTGCTAATAGGCAAAAAATACCATCTCAAAAAATTTTATTCTATTAAAATTTTTTTCTTTTTTTGGTACTGGGAATCAAACTCAGGCCCTTGCACTTGTGAAGCAGGTGGCAGCACCACTGAGCTAAATTCCCAGCCCAGTTCTATTCAAATTTTAAGTGAAGTTGAATCTTTTCATATATTTTATAGCTGTTTTAAGATATCTGTGTATATTCCTTGTCCAAGATGCTATTAAAATATTGGACTTTTCATATCAATTTGTAGAAGCTTTTTATATCTTGGATATTTTAACTTTCATAATTTTTTTCTTTCTTTCTTTCTTTTTAAAACAGAGTCTTGCTATTCAGGCTGGCCTTGAACTCACTGTATAGCCCTTGCTGGCCTCGAACTGGCTGCAATCCTTCTGCCTCAGCCTCCTGTGCACTTTGGTGATTTAAGTTGCAAATGTTTTTCTCAGTTTAGGTTTTGGTGAGGCTCATAGTCAGGTTTAGTTTCTACACAGGTTTTTAAATTTGTAAATAGATTTATGGATTTTTTAAAATCTGGGCTTCTTTCCTGCTACATTGGTTCATGCTCAGAAAGGATTTCCTCTATGAGAAGATTTTCTTAAAAATATCCTAGAGTTTCTTCTCATACTTCTGTGATTTTATTGTTCCCACAAAGTCATTCACTTGTATAGAATTTATTTTAGTGTAAAGTGTGATTTGTGGATCTAAATACTTTAGTAATTTTCTAATACTTTTTTATAATCTCTCCTCACTAATTTAAAATGTTATCTTTATCATCTGTAAATGTTTGTATGTCTATTTTGTACCTAATTCTGATTCTGTAGTCCTTTCTGTTAATATTTCAATCTATTTATGTATAATTATTATGCTGTTTTAATTATGGTAGCTTTATAATATGCATTAATATCTGAGAAAGATAGTCTACCCTTATTACTCTTCACTTTCACAATTTTCTTCTCCTATACTTGCTTGTTTATTATTGAATGAGTATGGACTATTCATGTAATATGTTAATGTTAAAATATTCTTATAGTGCTAAAAATCTTTGTTACTTTTATTAGGACTGCATTACATTCATCACTTGGCTTAAGGAGATGTGATATCACCATAAGTTCAAAGCTACCCTAGGCTACATAATGAGTCCAAGGCCAGCCTGCACTACAAAGCAAGACCCTCTCTCACAAAACCATAAATATATAAACAAACAAATGAACAAATAAATAAATAAGTTTAATGTTTGTTCATTATATGTACTTTGAAAAAAGACAAGAAGACAATAAAGATGTTAATACTAGCCATCTACAAGGGATGGATTGGGAGCCTTAGTTTTCCTTTCTTTTTTGTTATATTTTTAAATTTTTTTCTGTAAGGCATAATGTTATAGCTTATATTCAGACATCCTTCAAGGCCTCATGTGGTCATAGGTGGGGTCTTTTTCAGAGATGGTTGGATCTAGAGTATGTGACACTGGGATTGATTCATGATGCAATGCTAGAGTCAAGGGCACTAGGATTAAAGGTGTGAGTGCTACCCACCCTCAGTAGCCTAGACACAATATAAAAGGGGTAGAAAGATGCTGTTAAGGCCCAAACCTTATTGCTTTTCCTGTCTTCATGCAAGGAACTCTTTCTCTTCATGTGCAATTCTGCCTTGGAGCCAGCCAACTATGAACTGAAACCTCTACAAACAGCTAAATAAACTTTATCCCCTTTCATTTGGGTGTCGGGTATTCTTTCTTAGCAACTAGAGAAAAGTAAGACTGGTAATAAATAATAAAATTCTTAAAAGTTAGCTAGCATAACTGTGTGTGGCTGAAAAATATTTTCTGAATCAAGGCAGCTAAGGGATATCTGAGGTAAGGACATCATAGAACTATGAGGTAGTACATTGTCTTCATTGCTTAACTCACTTTTAGTTGGAGATTCTGCTACACATAAGCATGCCAAACTGAGTTTTAAATGAACTAAATTATATAATTATATAAACCACTTAGTATGTATAATATTGGCACATAGTAAGTGCTCAATAATAGAAATTATAATCTTGGTTCAAGTTATCTAGGCATTTTATTTTGTAGCTTTTGATCATTAGTAAGGTATAAAGGATTTTTTTCTTTCTGTTTAATTAACAATTCCTACATTTCCCAAATTTAAGCATATAATGACAATCTTGTCAACAATGGTGAACATAAGTTATGGTAATACTGTAAGATTATAATGGAGCTGGGGCTGGGGATTTAACTCAGTGGTACTGCCGCCTGTCTCTCAAGTGCAAGGTTGTGGGTTCGATCCTGGGTACAAAAAAAAAGAGATTATAATGGAGCTGAAACATTCCTATTGCCTAGTGACATTGTAGCTGTCATAACATCCTAGCACAAAATATTACTCATGTGTATCCTGTGACATTGATGCAAACAGAATGACTGAGCTGATAGAGCTGACAGTAATATAAAAGTTTAGGGGCTGGGGATTTAGTTTAGTGGCGCCACACCTGCCTTGAAAGCCCAAGGTCCCGAGTTCAATCCCTGGTATAAAAAAAACACAAAAACATATATATATGTTTAGCACTTGCAATTGAGTACCTAATACTTAATAATGATAATAAATGACAGTTACAGATTTTCTATGTATTGCACTATAATTTTTATCATTATTTACAGTATATTCCTCCTACTGACAAAAGGAAAAACTGTAAAATAGTATTCTGTGCTTCTAGCAGTGGCCTCAGATATTTCATGTTCAGTATGATTGCATTAAGAGGCCATGTCAAATGACTCACCTACACTTTAGTAAACACTATGACTTTTGTAGAATAACAAAGTCACCTAACAATACATTTCTCTGAATGTATCCCTGACATTAAGTGATGCATGACTGTCATACGCAAACCAAATAGTTGATGCTGTTTGACCTCCCAAGAAATTAAACATATTGGAAAGTAAAGCTGAATTAGCACAGAATATTGAACTATTAGATGAGCTGCTGAATCAATCATCAATTTGTTTTGTAGATACATGCAAGTTATTCAGGTTTTATAACTTGCATTAAAAAATTATAGATGTTTACATGAAGAATCTCATTTTCAACAATTAAAGTAACATAAAACTGACCACCAAAAATACACGTGTAGTGCAACAAGGTGGATTTATACTCATTGAAGAGTGGAACAATATTTATCAAGGAGATCATGGAGCATCTTAATGAAAGGATGTCAGAAAGAACCTACTGTATGGTTTGGATTTGGGTTGGGTAATTTAGGAATGGGTTTAAGATGGTAAGGATTTGTTCTAGATTGGGTGCTATAATAAAGAACAAATCTATGACTGTGTCTCTCAATAAATCTTAACCATAAGATGAGAAGGTTTATAAGGAGGATATATAACACAACATAGACACAGGAGTGATATCATTATTCACAGGTTTCACTCACACTTGAAGAGGAGATAATTGTATGAGATTGCAAGTCACTCAAGTATAATTTTGACTGGTCCCGATGTCCACAGCTGTCCCACATGTAAAATACATGTTCCCACTCCAAAAGTTTACAAAGGTCTTTTTCTTTCATAGCATCAGTTAAAAGTCCAAAATCTCTTCTAAGTATCATCAGCTCAAGAGTGATTATCTCAATAATGAAGTATGAGGTAAGCAAAGGACTGAGAAAAAGGGACCATCTGGGACTTGAAGCTTAGAACATGCTTCTAATTCTGGTTGGGAGGGAATCTTCAAGATTTCTGAGGAAGTAGAGGGGATAATATTGTTAGAACTGCAAGCCAGAAATAAAATTGACAACAGAGTAAAAATGGACTACTACATACAAGTGAGAAGACAATGAGGAGATAAATTACAGTGATAATGTGGACATTGTGTTCTTCACATGTTAAATAATGGTCCTCACCTTCTGTCAGCCCGAAGTGTTCTCTGAGGCATTCCTGCCTCCCTCGGTGACAGTCATGGGTTTGTGCTACTATAGTAATCATTTTTTGTCCAGTTTCACTGTAAACAAAGGTAAAGATTATAGTAGGTTATTGTTACAATTACTGCAGTGCATAGGGTTATGTGAAAATTCAGTGTATGGAGAAAGAATCATGCAAATTTCACCAACACAGATAGAATAAGAATTTTGGCCTTGTGAGATAATTTAATGGACATCATTTACTGAGTGATTCTTTTAAAGATAGCATGTTTTGTGTTTTGTGAATGCTGTCTCTTTTAGTTCTCAAGGTAATCCTTTGGCAGTAGGAACCTTTGGGTCCATTATTAGTAAGTAAGCATCAGTAGGTTTCTAATGAAATGTCATTTCCTCAGAGCATCCCACCCTGATACAACCTGTTTTACACTCCTCAAAATCATTGTTTCTTCTTCTTAGTGCTTATTTCACTTTGTATGTATTATGTTTATTTGTGTTCTATTTGTCAGGAATCTTTTGATAGCAATGAATGAAAACCAACTCAATTTGACCTAGTAGGGGGAAAAGATGAGGGAAAGACTGAAATGCCTTATATAATTGAGAGGTTGGGACAGGATTAACACCACTCTTAACTCTGGGGAAAGTCATTTTATAATTCTGGCGGTAAGTAGCACAGTCATATTGACTGGGGATATTTGGCTCTTGATATGGCAGGATCCAGGAGTTCAAACAATGTCATCATTCTGTATCTCTTTCATTTTATGTTGAGTTCAGTCTCTAGAAGACTTGATCCCTGCTTTTCAACCTGGAAGCTTCAGGTTTCTATCTTCCCATCTTCAAATCCACTGGGAAAAGATTCTCCTTAGAAAGAAAGCCTACAGAAAGTCTCCAAATTCTTTTCAAAAATAGGAATAGGTTATAGAAATAATTTCTCTGTTAGGTAAAAGAAATCCAGAGTTAAGTAGTATTTAGCTTGTGTATTGCTCCAGTGCCAGGGACTGAAGCTCCCTTAGTTCCTTCTCAGTTCATGGATCTACTTTATGGCCCAATATGGCTGCTACAGTTCCAGCAAGCAGTCAGTATTTCAGCCAGTATGGAAGGAAAAAAGCCACAATCTCTCCCTTTAAAAGCATTTCTCTGAAATTGCACATAAGACTCTGCTTTTGTACCACTGGCTAAAACTTTGTTGCATGGTCACACCTAACTACAAGGAAGAGTGTGCCCAGTACCAAAGTTACTAAGAAAGAAACTGAATATTGGAAGACAACTAACATCTCTGCCATGCAGGCCTATTGCATCAGTTTGTAGATAACCAGTGGACTGGTGGAACAGAGTATCTCTACCCACAAAATGGGATGTTAGTATCCAGAGGAGGAGGGATGTTACCGGGCTTTCAGATTTAAACTCCATACATTAGTTAATTTCAGAGTTTCAAGCAATGAAAAATTCAACTCACATATTCTTAAAACTTAAAGGAGACTATTGGATTATATAACTGAAAAGTCCAGAGGTAGAGCAAACTTCAAAAGTAGTTGATTTAGCTTCTATAATCTATTGATGGGGTTTACCTTTTTGTGTAAGCTTAATTCTTTTCTGACTTCCTTCATCATGGCAAAATGATAGAAGGATTTCTTTTCACATCTGTACACTACAGTGTACCAGGACTGTGTTGTGCACTAAACTTAGCAGCATGAACCAAATGGGGGTTGCCCATTCTCTTGCCTCTGTGAGATGGGGCTAGTGTTTGACCACTGAAATTGCAAGGCTAATCGGAAATGAGGGGAGGAACATTCCTCATAGTGTAGTCTGTCATTAGAAAGTAAACAGAGGGAAAAATGGATGCTGGTCATTTACCAACCAGTGTTCATTACCAACCCAGCTCCCATGTGAGCAGGGACTAAATCTCTAATAGCTAGCACTGTGCTTGGTGTACAAGTAAATGATCAATAATTATTGATTGAATGGGTAACAATGCTCAGGAAAGGTCATGTACCTCTACCATAATCTCCACCATCTAGCCTCCAGACTTCACTAATGCCATCTTTGTACCTCCTGGGTAAAGTTAAGTGTGCACAAAGGTGTTCCAGATTTACCTCAACCACAGACCAGAACACGACACCTAGGCTCCATACTGGCATAGACATCATCTTGGAGCCCTCTAATAGGGGATAGGGTTCAGAAGCTATGATTTCCTGGAGGAGGTATTTACTTAAAGAAACCATAAATAGCAAAACAAAAGGGGCAAGTGCAAACCATAATTAATAGGGATTATCCATAAATGTTTCAGTAGAACATGGTCACATGTCAGATCCAAAGGGCAAATAAATCTACAAATGGGCAGTCAACCCTAGAATTAACAGTCTAGGAGTCAAGAATGGGTAAAGAAGGCAAATGGGAAGTAAGTTAAGGAAAGAATTCAGGATATAAATGATGAAAAAGATCAAGTGGAGGGCTCTATCCTCACAGGTATATCCCCAGCAGTGGTAGATGTGGGCCTGACAGCCACAAGCTGTGGGGCAAATTCCAGAGAGGTGAGACCTCTTCAAGGAGCTTACCTCAAGAACCTAGGGACCATGGGAGCAGGGAGAATGGCAACTTGGGGAGCAAACACCCATCGCTGAGGAAATACACTGAGGAGACAATGCAGTGCCCAATTCTAGAGTCAGATTGCCTGGATATACATGCCACCCTGTCACTTTCTATCCATGTGATTTTTGTTCAAGTCAATCAATCTCTCTATCCTTCTGCTCCCATCCATGTAAGAGGATGTACATTCTTTGTTATGAAAATGAAATAAAGTAGCAATCCTAAAGCTTTTTTGCATAGGCTGTTGTACACCAAAACACTGAGCTAAGCTCACCAGTACTGTCAACAGCAGTCAATTATAGTACTAATTAGCAATAAAGGCAACAGAGAAACAAATTAGACACTCATGATTAGTTCTGAGCTCTTAGACACTAGCTCTGAATTGCCATGCCCATTTTTGCACAAGAAATTTCAAATGCCTCAAACTCCTTTTCCCTCCTTGACAGCTGGCTAAAATGTCCACAGGTCCTTCAGATCTCAGTTCATACATCCCTTCCTCAAGGCTGGAGCTGCTGCTGTTCTAGAGGTACTGGTCTGATAAAGGACATTTGAATTTTTCTACCCTGAATTTAGCGTGCCCTTGGTCCCCCTGCCTAAGATCCTGCTAGTACCTGACATGGAGACTGAGTTACCACATGTATTAATTCATCTTCACTTAGCAAACATTTGCTAAATACATCCTATATATCAGGCAGTCAGCTGAAATATGGTGATTCAGAATTGAGCATCCAAATATAGCCCTTGACCTCTTGAGCTTTCCCGCTATACAAAGGAAATAGATATTTGATGTACCATGAGGATCTTAAAAGAGGAGCTAAAGGATACAGTGGGAGCCATGGGGCTCAGGGGAAGTAGGAAGGACAACAGCTATAACAAGGAAGATACTGAGGCTGAGAAATTGGCTGAAGCCACCCTGAGTGAGCACTTGCTATGGTTTAGATGAATGTCCCCCTGAGCTGTATATGTTAAAGCTAGCACTATTAGAAGGAAATGAAATCTATAGGAATAAAACTATGTGGGAGATCCTAAGTCATGGGACTGTGCCTTCAAAAGCTAATAATGGGACCCTAGCCCATCCTATCTTTGCTTCCTGGCTGATGAGGTAAATGGTTTTGCTCTACTACACACTGGTGTGTGGTGCTGCCTCACTACAGGCTGAAAGATATTGATCCAATTGATTATAGTGTAAAACCCTCAAAATTGTTAGTCAAAAATAAAACTTTTCCCTTTATAGTTTAATTGTCTATGGTATTTCATTAGAGTAACTCAAGGCTGACTAATGTAACATGTAGAAAAAATTTCCCGAGGAAATAGGACATCAGAAACCTTGAAAGTATATGTTGTGACAGGTTTCCTCTAAAAACAAAATTTTAAAATACATATTAGGGCCTGGGGTTGTTGCTCAGTGGTAGATTATTCTCCCAGCATGTGTGGGGTTTGATCCCCAGCACCACCAGAAAAACAGGAACAACATATATCTCAGAGAATTTATGAATGGAAAATAAAACACAGGACCTGGAAAACAATCAGTTCTCAAAAATGATAGTGATGGTAGTTATCATTATCATAATCATTACCATCAGCATCCTGTTGGTGATGGAAACTAGGTTGAGGCTAGTGACTGCTTCAGCATAAGGAAGGTATAAAAAAGCATATTGTCACTGTTTTCCTTTTTCAGGACACAGAGATAACCAGATTGTAAAGATGGAAAATTTAAAAATCTGGAGATAACCAGATTGTAAAGATGGAAAAGAACCATTAGGGAGACTGTAACTTTCAGCCAAGTATGCTCATGTGATAATAAGGTTTACAAACTCTTTCACCAAAGCAAGACCTTTGACTTCTCGAATGCCATCAAGCCTTATAAACTACTCCAAGAATACAATGCAATCAAATCCAATGTATGAGCAAACAATATTTTAGGCAAAGTCACACTTTCATTGATGTATCCCTCCAGAAAAGGTTTCTGAAAATTAGATCTCTCTTCCTTGCCTCACCACAGAATCAGAGCACTGTTCAAATCATTTTTGCTTTCCCAGCACATGTAACATTTCTTTCAGGGTATTAGCAACTTCATGATTTTACAAGAGCAGTGGGCGAGGACTTCACATTATGGTAACTTGGGGACCCAGGCTTGTAATTTTATGAAAACAAATACATCCTGAGTATTATTGTTCATTCTAATGTTAAGATAAAGGAGAACTACAACAGGTCAGACCCTTATAGTCAGGGAAAGTAGAGGATTTTAGGGCCAGAACCTGCTGGATTACAATTTGGGTGTGTACTTTTTTGTTATTGGTTTTTGAAGGACCCTAGTTAGCAAGACAGACTCCATATTGCTGCTTGACCCACCTGCCTGCCCTTTAGATGAACTCAGAAGGAGGAAGCTTAAAAACCTCCTCCCCTTAGAAAGTCTCTTTAGAAATAACAATTAATCAACTATTGTTTTACAAATGTTCTAACAGCAGGGACATTCTGCTTCTGTACTTTTCACTTGCTT